ATTATTCAACAAGATGAGCCCGATAGGTTTGTTCAGGTCGATTTGTTCTTGTTTCTAAATTTTGATGACAAAGTCATTTTCTCCGAAATATTTTCAGGATTTTAGATTCAGAAAGACATCCCATGTACAGCCAACCTCTACAATGTTGAAACTTGAATCCACAAAATTTGCTCAACAGGTATCCAGTGTAGTTGTTTAAAGGTCACATAAACCCTAGAGGGTACAAATGCATAAATCACTAACTGGCATCGTTATAAATGAAACCCCGTCATTAAAACTACTCATTTCGACCTTTATTTGACTTAAATCGACCTTTTTGACAACAGTGCACAATTCTCACCCGCGAACGAAATTTCAACCAATCAGAGCGGCGCGCCTCTGTGACGTCATATGAGGAATAGCTTTGAGAGCCGATGCAGAATTCATCTACATTTTAGGGGGTAAATTATCGTGTTTACAGGCTTGTATAAACCTGAAATCGTGACAATTGTTGTGGAAAATGAAAGCTATATGTTCTCACAATCTACTGTCATTTAATTTTGTCTCCTGCTTTGCCTAGTTTCAGAGTTACAACTTGTTTTCATAGACGATTCTGTCAAAATCGATTGGTGTCGTTAGGCCCTATTTGTATAATGATTGATCCAAATAGATCCCATTTCTGTGTTGTTTTACCTCGACATTTAATCATGTCATGTAAAAATCTGTTTGTATTCTCAATACAGTGTCGGCCCATAAGTTTTCACATGCAATACAGCAATTTAATACTCCCTCGTTGTAACCCGTGTTAGGTGGTATAAACCTACACATGTTATTTGTCATCATTCACTTGATGGTCAGTTAATGAATTTATAACAGGCATAATTAGTGGTAACACACTTAGATTACCCGACAAAGGTTCCCATTTTGCATTTCTTGTGTCTGGAGTAAATATTCAACATTATAAACATCGATCAAAGGATTAACCGATAACACGCTGATTGATTAATTACTTTTATCTTACACAGCGGAATTGTCAAAAGGTAGTGTTTATGTATGTAGATTTACTAATCTATACTGAATACACTCTGTCGTGTCAGTGTCTGCGTAAAAACAACGTCCTTCTTTCAAAGGATTAACCGGCAATACATTGATTGATTGCCCATTATTGGCTAACTAAATTACTGTTTTTAAAGAAAGGCGGACCTTATGCAATTAGTTGCCAGATGTGCTATCTTGGGTGACCAATGAGACTATACACCAATACCTGAAAAGATTTATCACTTTTTCGTATATTAAACTGTTAAAAGATGCATCATTTGGAACAGTTTTGTGGATATTGATTGATACATTCCTCGAACAAGGTAATGGCCTGATATTGTTCCTATAACTTTAATCTTTTTTAATTTTAATATTTGCATTTTGTTTTTATTCATTTGTCGTAGCATTCAACAGAATCATTGTTTTCGCCGTGAAGTGTAATGAGACAGACAACATGCACTAGGGTGTGTGTGCGAATTATGATTCACATTGGCAAACTATAAAATGTCTAGATATTACAGTTCTGTTATAAATTCACTATAAGTATCAGCAGATCGTCTGCTTTTTATTTAGTTTCAAAATGCATACAAGTGTGATAATAAACTAATTAGGATTATAAGACCAAATATAAAGACGCACATTGACTAGTATCTACATACTGGTGAGTGGACATTAGCCATGGGAATGTAGCAAGAAATTTATCGCGCAGTATAGTGACTTCGACCCCCACCTCGCTTCCGTGGAAGAAATCGTTATGTTATAAGTTGTGTCATGCAAAATCCGTTTGGTTATGATTCCAATACATATTTAACAACGAGTAGAAAGTAGTCTTGATTTTCTAACTTGATGAAAACAAACTATAATCTCATTAATTCTAACAGATTTTTTTATTTTTAAAAATGGCGGCGCCCTGTCGGGAACATCCGCCAGTCTGAGGATAAATGGTATTTAGGTTTGTTTTCACCGATTTACAAAATCAAAACTACTTTCTACTGGTAGTAAAATATGTATTTTATTGATGGCCAATAGGATTTTGCATGACATAGCGTATATCATAACAATTTCTCTCGTGGCAGCGAGGTGGGTGTCAATATAATACTACTTACAATATTATTGTTACTTCGACCACAACCTCAATTCCGAGGAAGAAATCGTTAGTTACAAGTTGTGTCATAGAAAATCTTTATGGTCATCAATCATATGCATATTTTACTACAACTAGTAAGTAGTTTTGATTCTTTAACTTCCGTGAAGCGATCTGAACACAAGTAAGATATCGTTTCAGGCTTCCACAACGCTCGCTTCGCACTCACAAACATAACCCATTTAGCACGAACTGCGGGGTCCTGTGGAAATCTGTGCATGGGGACACCATCGCCCGACCCCTAGGAGCAATTGACGACAAAGCAACGATTCGGCATGTCGTCGTTGATGTCGAGAAATCATCAAAATGATGAGCGTGGTACACATTTTCTATACAACTAACTGAAAATCGTTCCTCATATGACGTCACTGCAGTGCTCTGGCGACAGAGTTACGTAACCTGTCTGTGGTTTCGTTGGCGGGCGAGAGGGAAGCAGGCGACTTTTTGGCCACTTTTAATCGCTCGGTATTAATTAACCACAAGTTTTTAAAGAATAAATTTGGTGTTCCGCATAAGACTAACCACAAATCTTTCACATGTAATGGTTAAAAGAGTAACAAAAAACAAAGTTTATTGGTTCTTTAAGGACTAGTGTGATGTGGTCCTTTGGCCTGGCCCTGGTGATCACCCCCGCCGCTCTGTTTTGGACTTTCTGCAAACGTTGGATGTTTCCAACTCCATACAGTAGTGAGTTGCTATAGTCCAGTCTCGATGTTACATAGCAGTTGGCTAGCAGCTTTGTCACATCTCTGCCAAGGTATCGGATGTTCCCGATGTTCCTCCGATGGATGTTCACTGTCCTGCATGTGTTCAGAGCTTGCTAGTCTGGTGACATTGTCTCAGTAAACATGACCCCGAGATTCTTCACCTTGTTGGTAGGTTGTATGCTTGAGTCACCAATCGTGAATAGGGATGTTGTCACTTTCTTTAATTGTGCCAAGGTGCCAATGATCATGTACTCCGTTTTGTCATCATTCAATCTCGGGGAATTCACGGCCACCCACGCGAATATCTGCAAGGCATTCTTCAATCTGATAATGGCAAAGCGGTACAGAGGTAGGTACGACACTGATGCATAACTGTTGTCAGCATACCCGTGGACTCGTTGGCCATGTCGCCTGATGATATCACCAACTGGCGAGATGTACGGTGAGAATAACACTCGGCCGTGAACTGATCCTTGAGGCATGCCAGATTCTTAGTGATGGTCCTCAGATGTTAACCATCTTCTGATACCCTCATCAATCTATCTGATCTGAACCAGTCTAAAGATTCCAATGGTGTTTTCCAGCCTGTTGAGGAGTATCTGCTGGTCGAACGTGTCAAAGGCAGCTGACAGGTAGAGGAGCACAAGTAGTACCACCTCCTGGAGAGTAATACATGCTCCTCAGGATGTCATTTTGAACTCTGAGTGAGTGAGTGAGTTTAGTTTTACGCCTCACTCAGCAATATTCCAGCTATATGGTGGCGGTCTGTAAATAATCGAGTCAGACCAGACAATCCAGTGTTCAACAGCATGAGCATCGATCGGCGCAATTAGGAACCGATGACATGTGTCAACCAAGTCAGCGAGCCTGTCCACCCGATCCCGTTAGTCGCCTCTTACGACAAGCATGGGTTACTGAAGATCAATATTCTAACCCGGACCTTTACGGGTGATTTTGAACTCTGGATAGCGCTGTTTCTGTACTATGCCTGGTCTGGTATGCAGACTGATACACCTCCATCAAGTATATGACTGATAAGATGTTCGTTTAGCCGTGTCAAGACAAGCTTTTCCAAGACTTTGGATAGAAACTGTAAATTAGTGGTCTGATCAATGCTTCTTTGAAGTCTGTAGGCACCACTCTCTGCGTCAGTGACGTATTGAGCAGAGATGTTATAGCTTGTGAAAGGGTGTCCAAACAGCATGTAAGCGTGTAAGTTGGTATCAGATCCAGTGGACAGGACTTCCAAGGTGAATCTTTTATTATCCTCTCAACTTCATTGTGGTCCGTTGCCTGAAACATGGCCATTCTGTTGCCCACGAAGGTTTTGTCCTCACCAAGAGGAGATCCAAGCACAGATGATGTCAGTGCTTCAGATCACAATCTTCCAACCTTGTCAGTGGAGAAACCCGCCAGTGAATCAGCTTGTTCTTTCGACTGAGCTGAAGTGTTGAGGTTTTGAATAGCCTTTGGTTTGGTGAGCACCAGATTCCTCAAAAATCTGTCTGTGGATTTCCAGTTTGGATTTCCGCCACTGACGTTCAGCTCTTCTGCGCGCATGCTTCGCCTGTATAACCTCATCATCCAGCTGGTGTCAGGTCTCAGGACTTTGTTGCATTGGTTGACTGGGGGGTGTTTGTCCTACAGTTCCAATATTCTCTGCAACTCTGCTGCAAAATCACGAACATTATCTGGCGGATCTGGTACGCAGCGTAGACGTCACTACATTTCCCAAACACGATCTATAGGAACCTGGTGAATTTGATGACCACGGCAGTACTTGAACGGTTAGGTAGACTAATGCCTACATGGGAAAATAACTACAGGGAATAAAAACTACAAAATTTGTTGTGACAGTGATATGCCTACCTGAACATGGTTAGGCCTACTTAGGCCTACAAGGAAAAATAGCTACAGGGATAATAGCAACAAAGTTTGGTGTGACAGCAATACGACTACATGTACCTGAACACGGTTAGGTCTACTAATGCCTACAAGAAAGAAATAGCTACAGGGAATAATAGCTACAAAGTGTGTTGTGACAGCAATATGCCTACCTGCACACAACTGGACTGTTTCAATTAGTGTGCACTGATGCCTGCAATGGGATTAGGGGAGTAAAGAGTAAAAGGCAAAGAGCAAAGTTGTTTTGAAAACTTTACAGGCATTTACTTTTTAGCAAAATGTTTTCTCAATCTCACACGAGAAGGAGATTGAAGAGTAGAATAATTTATTGAGAGAGATTATTCAGTGTGAGAAGGACATGTATAAATGATGACAAGATTCTCTGCTTCGTCACACCCTCCTGCAAAAAGTGGACACCCTCTACATGGACGGCACATTCTACTGCTGCGCTCCTCTCTGGGACCAGACTGACTTTGAAATCGCTGCCATCAACGCTGTTGAGACGGTTGTCTCCAACTGTGACGTCTGTGGATGCTACTTCCACTACATTCAAGCTCTCTGGAGGAAAGTTCAGAACCTCGGCTTCAGTTAAGTCTACCAGCAGGATCCTGAGGTTCACAGATGGGTACGAAGAGCAGCAGCACTTCCCCTCCTCCCAGTGGCCATGGTGCAAGACGCTTGGATAGAGATTATGCCCCTGCCATTGGACAGAATGATGAGTTTCAAGACTACGTCACCAGCACTTGGGTCGACGACCATGCCAAGGACGAACAACCATCTCGAGGGATGCCATTCGCACCTCAGCATGATCGTCCAAAGAGCACACCCGAACATTTTTGCTTCGTGAAAGTGTTGCAGAAGATGGAGAAGGGTGAGAAAAAGCTGGTGCGCATGGCTTGAACCTCAGTAGAGGAGGCTGGCAGATGCCATCCGTGCCCCTGGCTACAGATACTGAACATGTTGGAATTATTCTTGACGCCCAATTCAACTCATGGGAAAGAACATAAGACAGCTGCTCCAGGTTCAAGCCATTTATTATGGTGCTCACCAACTCAGGTTGCGATGCAAAAGGCCTAAACCCTTTGAAATCATCAAAACTTTCCACATCCATTCCACACTGTGACCTCATACAGCATGGGTGATGGCGAAACAACCCCATCCAGAAAACAGTAGCCACGTCCCTCATCCAGAAGTGTGCCTTATGGAGACCCGGATGAGACACTGGTGTATGCAGCAAGTGTGATTGTGTATGTGCAGACCTACATGTGATACAATGTGAATGTGAACTGAAGTGCAGACTACGAGACTTCGGTACCTGTCTGCTGTCCTGTACACCACCAATCCCTTCAGACCAAGAGACATGTGAACATTTTGTAAAGACTGATAAAATATCTTTACCCACTTGAAAAAATCTCAAACAAACATTCTTAAATTAAAATCCTCGTGTAATGCATGCTTTTATGTCAATGTATACTGTGTAAATACCTAACCTTCATATAACTTATGTACCAAACTCTCCCTTGGAGGAATAAAAGTATATATATTTATCTCAGAATGCAATTTGTTAACTAATTTCAATTTTGTTTTGGTTTTGTTCATAATAAAATGTTACAATTACCTCTCCAAATTAGAATTTCCATTCCAGGACAGTTTTGGTTGCCAACAACTCCATCTAACAATCAATCATGTGCCTATGCACGTTTCGCTTGTATGGATACCACAGTGACCATAGTAATCGCGTATTCAGAATTTCATGTCTTGTTAGAAGATAACTTGGACCTTGGCTTATGGTAACTTGAATTATCTTATTGCAGACCCTCTCCAAGTAGAGTAGATCATAAAACTGAAGGTAATTGAAAAATGAATTGGTTCTTGAGTCAATCGGATGTGAATTTTCATAGCTATTCAGCTTTCCTTAGAAAGAACACAAGATATGAAACATAAAAAACATACTGACACAACCTGTCTCATTTACATTCGGAAGTGGGCCAATTAACCTCAAAATACTGAATCCAAAATACTGGTCCTCACACTTAGCGCCTATAATTCCTGAGCAGACAAATCCTTTGGTAATACTGAGTTGCAAGTTCACTTCATGGTTCACCAAAACCCTCTCTGATCAAGGTGTCTTCAAATCCTCCTACCTGTGAAAATCCGGGTTAGAATATTGGTCTTCAGTAACCCATGCTTGTCGCAACTAACGGGATCGGGTGGTCAGGCTCGCTGACTTGGTTCCCAATTGCGCCAATCGATGCTCATGCTGTTGATCACTGGATTGTCTGTTTCAGACTCGATTATTTACAGACCGACGCCATATAGCAGAAATATTGCTGAGGCGTAAAACTAAACTCACTCACTCAAATCCTCCTGCCAAGAGGCATCCTTCCTAAACTAAATCTTCTATTTTAATGAGACTACTCAATAGATTTTCGAAATGTTATATTAGTTACCTAAACTGAACCACAAAAGAATCTTTGCACATTTGAAAATAATATTACGAAAAATGAGCAAGATAGGTTGAAACCCAAATAGTCATAAACACATAGCCCAAACGCAACCTATGCTCACGTGAAACGTTGAACCGGCAATATGCACGTGTCTTGTTGAAATTGCGAAATATTGGAAATCATGTGACCCCACTACAGGCGGAACTGCACGTGCCACATGGGTATAAAAACTGCACAGCACCGATGTTAGACATTCACATTGGGAAAAGAACACCTTGGAAATGGCAAGACTGACAGCAGAACAACGCAAGCGAGCATTCGGAATGATTCAGATGGGGGCAACGCATACCCACGTTGCAAGAACCTTTGGTTGTTCCCGTGTTGCCATTGGTAACTTGTTGTAACGATACAGGCATACTGGACGGACATTGGACAGGCCCAGAACAGGGAGACCACGGGTCACCACGCCACAGGAGGACCGGTACCTGCGTACGTTGCACCTCCGCAACCGCTTCCTCACGGTGACGTCATCGGCGGCGCACGCTTTAGGTCGGCGGATCAGCACAACCATGGTGACCAGAAGATTTCGGGCAGCGGGTATCAGGGCTTATCGACCATTCACTGGACAGATGTTGACCGCTGAACATCGCCGCAGGAGACTACGATGGACGAATACGGTACGACGTTGGCAACGTCGGGATTGGCAACGTGTGATTTTTACGGATGAAAGCAGGTTCTGTTTGTTTACTGTTGATGGCAGACAACATGTTCACCGTCGCAGAGGTGAACGTACAGCTGCTTGCTGCGTACAACAAGTCGTTCCGTACGGTGGAGGTGGAGTCATGGTGTGGGGTGCCATTTGTGGTGACCAGACAACGCCACTAGTCGTCATTAATGGAAATCTCAATGCTCAACGTCACAGGGATGACATCCTTCGTCCTGTGGTACTACCCTACTTTAAGCAACAGCCCCAGGGTGTTCTGTACCAGCACGACAACAGCTCGTATTGTTGTGAACTTCCTTGCCCCAAACAACGTCGACGTCTTATCGTGGCCGGCATGCTCTCCGGACCTAAATCCCATAGAGCACCTCTGGGACATCTTGGACAGGAGTGTAAGGCTCCGACAACACCCTCCCACCAACAGACAAGAGTTGTACAAGCTCTACAGGCTGAATGGAACCACTTGCCACATAACCTCATTAAACGTTTGAGGTCTTCGATCCGACGTTGAGTTCTTGCATGGTTGGCTGCACAGGGTGGCCATACACCGTATTAAAGTGACACATTTTGTGACTGGAACCACTATCTGGGTTTGAATGAATTGTACTGGGCATCTGGATAACCGAAATTTTACCCCCTACTGGCTTTGGATGTCTTTAGTGGAATATGTGATCGCAGAACACCAATTTTCTGTTCTTCAATGTTTTCTGGCATTGTTGATATATTAAATATACTTTACCTCAAACTTCTATTGTTTTCAGTTTTGGAATTAGACTGATTTCAATCTGTTGCAAAGTTTCTTTTGCCGTTTTATATTAAATTAATGTTACTTATACACTGATAAACATTAAATAGTGTCTAACCCTACAAATGTCATTTCAAAGATGGAAACAAAACAAGAGAAGCCAATTGAATGAAAGACAAAGGCGTTTTTCTTCATGATTTTATTGTTGGTGATTGTGACAATGTATGCAGCTGACAAGAGTGACATGACCTACTTGAGGTCAAGCAAGGCATTGAACCATTCATGCACATCTCACTATACTATCATACTCCTTTACAATATTAAAAACTTGACAATGTATCAGTAAGGAAAACAAGCAGTGTCGAGTAAGAATTTCATCATTTCCATATTATGCATATCTGGCCTATCAAAATTACATGAATCTAGATCACCTTGACTATCACAAATCCAAAGTTTGTGCAATATACCCGTTGAAATGCACTCTGCACTACTGGTTATGGCTCCAATGATTAACTGGACATGTGTCTATAATTCCCATTTCAGCAGAGGATGTACTTGCACAAAAATTCCAACATACATCTTCTTAAAGTAATTCCTACAGAGCACCAACATGAAGATAACTTTGCCTTATGATTTAAAAAGATGGATCAGTTACTGAGTTAACAATGACAATGTATGACTGCTTAAAAGCTGTCAAACACAAATATGTCTTCGGGATAACCAGCCGAATACGACAAGATAGCAGCAGAACTCCTGTGTTTCTATATATCTTGTAATGTATTATAAAAGGTGTAAATGGATTCATAAACATTACAGATCACATGCTGTTATAGCCTCATCATCAACAAAAAGCATAAGCAGTAAACATGATAAATCTTTTTCAGTAATTGACAAGTTTAAGAAACACTTGATGAAAATTACACGTAAGAACATTGTAAAGTGCCATCTAAACAAGCTGACGTAATTCTCCAAGCAGTAAATAAAGTAGTTAACAATATGCAAGAATCTTCCTAAGTACCACAAACAAGCTCCAAGAGAACAACAATCATTGTTTCACAATACAGAATGTAGTACCCAGCAACAACTGGGGCAATTCAGCCAGCCTTTGCACTCAGTGATTTAATTACTCACCATACAAGACCACAAGTGGCACCTATTGCTGTGTCAAAATCAAACTACAGCGCTTTACATGTATCATGTATATAAATGCCATTTCTCAGATTACATGTATTTCCATTAGAAAAATCTACATGTGAGATGATACCAAAATTCAACTTACTAAATTTGTCCATGTATATACATTACTAGACTTGCTCATCATATCTGTAATTAAAAACAAAACTTTTCGCAACATGAAAAATTAAATCCTTGCTAAGATAACACTTGTATTTAACACACTGAAGAAACATCTTCTCTTCACCACAGTTTGAGTATCTCTACTGAATTCTAAAAGTGTTACCATTAACAAATAGATATATATCAAAATCCATGATATGAAGCAACAAGTTCTCCTATGATGGCCATTGTACACAGGTGCCCTAAATATTGCATGGCAGACTTGACTCGTTTTTGACAGCAGACAAACATGCAGGTAGACAGGGTATGTAAACTTAGTACTGTGTGAATTATGACACCATCCCCCATCCACCAAATACAGTCAATAGGACATTAACTGCACTGAAACTATAGTTCTACATAGATATATGTATGTACACAGGGAAATCAATAATACAACTATACAGACATGGTATTTACAACGTAGTAAGTGTCTCTCACAAATATAGAGAGACAATACAAATACAATAAAACTAAATAACATTTTACACTGTAAAATGACCAAAGTAGAAAAAAAAAGAGAAGAAATTTGAAACACATAACCTTCAAAATACAGAGAACAATTAAAGTTAATCATTAGAAATCAAATGGCTTTGCTTCTTTTGACAGGATATATTTGTTAACATAATACATATATTACGAAGATTTACAACATATTTTACGGATCAGAATAAAGTTTAATATCTTACATAGTTCAGAATATTTTTAAAGTGCTTTTTAATCTGCACCACTTGTTTACCAGGTGAAGGGAAAATATTCCCCATATTTGCAGTTACAGATCATGACACAATCTTATGTGAACATTACTGTATATTTTGAAAAGGGGATCAACTGTGTTTAATAACTATGATCATTCTTGCCTAATGTGTGGTACTTTGTACCCATTTAGTTTGACACAATGAAGTCCCAATATATTCTGAAGGGTGCACGAGATCCAGCACAATACTAGCCACACTCCGGCGCAGTGATGATTTAGCATAACATCACTGCCACAGGCTAATTTGCATATCACATGACCGGACCTTTCTCTTGTTTGTAAACAAACGCTCATATTCATAATAAGAAGAGACTGGCCTTACGCAAGCTTTTCGGCGCTCTTCACAATGTTTTACATTGTTACATGTACATTCTTCCACAACTGCGACTGTAAGATTTATGACAGTACATATTTTAGATATCAAACTGGCTGCATTGTTTGCTTTCCGTCGGGTTCGATGACAGCACGTGGAGCTGTACAACCTATGTAAACAAACGATCGCTACGCAAATCGAAATAGTGTTACATGTTTTAGGATATTTTCTCAGTGAAACTAAACCTTTCTATCAAAGATGTTTAATTAGATGTGTAGACTCGTCAAAAACAAAAGTGTTAAGAAATATGTACACTATATTGAATGAACGGTGCAAGATGTGACGAATCGTCACATCTTTCTGGCCTGTGGCAGAGGTACTATGCTGGCTTGCTGCATGGAACTCTGGGTAGGAGAGTGAATACTAGCACTTCAGTATTTAAGATTCAAGTCAATTCCCCATTATGATGAGTGCCTGTCCTGAAGCCGGTCAGCTGGATGGTATTCACAGCTCAATATTATGACGGCGAGTCTCCCCTTGAGACTGACAGACAATAATCCCTCACCCCAGCTACTACCTACACCGACTCTGTCTGACAGTGGTTCAGCATGCTGGCTATGTAGCAGGACTAGGATTTTCTAGCATCTCCATCAGGAAAGTGTCAATTGGTGTGTCTCCAATTAGTTTAAAGAAGAACAGGTGCTCCAAGCATTTAAGTCCAATGCTGCGGAGAGCAGGCAACCTAAGTAAGAGTTTGGCAAAACGGCCCGGCTCATCAGGATAGCGAGTTTTACAATACTCCTCCAGAGATGCATAAACCTTTTCTCTCAGTTGTTCGACCTCTTGCACTGCAGACAGACCTTTAGCATCTGAAAGAAACAGAGAAGAAAACACATTAAACAAGTGTTTGCCACTGATATGGCAATGTCCCCCGCCGCTAAAGAATGGAATATCTATATTTACGACATTTTATTTTTGGGTCACATACAAGATGCCTGAAATGACTGGTGTCTGCATAATCACCCAATGTAGGCTGTCAACATACTTGAAACATTGGGTGCAATGTTTTATGAGATATCCGCTTTAAAAAGCGGTCAAAGTATCGTGGTGACCTTGAAAAAAAGGTCAAGGTCACCCAAATCGACTGGTGTCTGCGTAATCCCCCAATGTAGGCTGTCACCAAATTTCAAGACATTGGGTACAACAGTTCATGAGATATCACGCTAACAAGTGTTTGAAAAGTGGTCAGTGTCGAGGTGAACTTGAAAAAAAGGTCAAGGTCACCCAAATCGACTGGTGTCCGCGTAATCCCCTAATGTAGGCTGTCACCAAGTTTGAAGACATTGGGTACAACAGTTCATGAGATATCGCTTGAACAAGAGTGTGAAAAGTGGCCAAAGTGTCGTGGTGACCTTGAAAATATCGTCAAGGTCACGCAAATCGACTGGTGTCTGCGTAATCCCCCAATGTAGGCTGACACCAAATTTGAAGACATTGGGTACAACAGTTCATGAGATATCGCGTTAACAAGAATCGGGACGTACGGACGTACACTGCTGAATACATAGTCCCCCGTTCCGAGCTGCGGCAGGGGACAACAAAATAGGCCTTGAATCTAACAGTCTAAGGAACTGAATCTGCTTTGACCTTCCTGGTCCGTTCTTCAAACAAAACAAAAATTGATGTTACATTGCTTACCAGGATTGAAGAGTACAATGGCTCGCAGGCAGCCAAGTTCTGTCTTATCCATTTTCATCTCTCTCATCTTGGCCACCAGCTCTGTGAGCACTCGGTCAAAGATTGTCCCAACCCCTGCCTGATGTGCAGAACTGCGATGTACGTGAAGGCCAGTTGCCAACAGGATGCCATCTTTTACAGCAATAGACCGATGTGAAAATCCAGCAATCAACAGTTCATTCCATCCTGAAACAGAAAAATATCACGTGATGACAAGATAACTATTTGCATTCATGTGCCTTTCACTGACATTTCAAGCTGTTGCATAATTTTCTTCTTCTGAAAAGGGACCTGAAAAATGTTACATGTGGCAGACGTTTTGATGATGCGGCAATAAAGAAGTACCACACCTATCTTTCTTAAACCAAATCCTTAGACTGGAGCATTTGTTTCATGAAGAAATTATCAAAAGGAAGACATTGTACACAAGCCTTATCTAAACTAGTTGCTTAAAAAAATCTATTTTGTTGCTTTTTTTCAAATTTATCCATACTATCTAACCTGATGTTATCCAAAAAATCTTGTTCCCATTTAGGGCCATGTGCACCATGTCCAAAAGGTTAAATAGGGGGCAAAACACTGACAAAGGTACAAATCAATGCTTCTTTTAGAACTTAACACATTTATCCCTAAATATGCATCCAACCTTCATGCTCATATCAAAAGCCTTTTTTTTCTAAAGAAAGAGAAAAAAAAGTGTCCACACTGAAATATCAGAGATAAATTTGGACCACAGGGGCATGGAAACATGAAATGGCGCATTTCATGAACAACATCAGGTGCACATGGTGAAATACAATTTAACACCCGGCCATCGATAAAAATAAACAAATTGCATTATCATTAGTATAACAATAGCTATGTTGCCCTGATGACATGGGAAGATTAGACCTCACAATCAACCTTTTCTTTCTTGAGGTTTGGTAAGGACAAATGAAAATGTATTTCCACAACATATCCCTTCAGCAAATTATATTTGTATTAGTATTAAACTTGAACAATGAAAAATTTGAAATAACACATCACAAGACAAGATTTTGGATTTACATTATATCTCTTGTTGTTTTATATTCACAGATAAAGATTATCATGTGTAATCGTAAACTAAACAGGATATAGCTATCAGCTGTACACATGTTCGCTTCCTTCAATTCTACCAGTGTTTCAGTTAAAACATGCTCAATAACATAACTGCAAACAACATTATCGGCAGAATTATATCTGAAAAATTTATCTTACCTCAAAATTACCAATTCTATGAATTTAGCGCCTCGGGCGCTTTGTTAACTTAAATGTTAAAGTGGCACTCATCAGGATGCCCCGAGTAAAGGAGAGCGCTAGGTAGGAACTGGTTACAAATCACACAAAACAGTCAATGAACAGATATCAACAGTCATTGCAAATGCCAACATACTTCCATGTTCACGCTCATCTCAGCCTGACTATTTTCTAGTGTATGATAAAATCTTTTTCTTCTGAATTCCGATATATTTTTCACAATGCACAGTCATTACCATGGATCACTGGAAATACGATGCCAATAAATCCGCGAATTAATCATGCTATTTCACTGTCTTGTACTAAAATGGACTGATCTTGTTTTATGCCGCACTCAACAATATTCCACAGTGTTTGCCCTTAGCATAAAAATTCAGGAGTCATCAGGACTTGTTGGTGTCATGTCTGATCATACCTGAATTTGCTGAAGGGATATGACGCAGGAGTTCAAAATTGTTTGTAAAGTTTACTTGCCATAAGGCAAGTAAAAACAAATAGGACAGTACATAGCATTTGCGTCGCCATCGTATTCAACCCACGGAAATTGCCCTTGCCAACTGGGAATGAATTTTCTGAAGTTTTTCGTCATCGTACTCTTTGTTTTTAACTGATCCACTCCCTTGCGACTGTTCTGAATTTCTTTTAGTAGAACTGCTATCTGTTTTGCTGCCGAAGAAACTAGAAATACTTTGTGACATATTTACGATAATCAAACTGTAGCAATTGCTGAAAATTGTGAAGAAACAAACGCGTTTCAGTATTGAGACTTGTTGCCAATGGCGCTATACTTAGACCAGATAACGGTGTTAAACGTGTTGGCACGAAAACCAAGGAAAGTAACTATCTTTCTTCGGCAACAATGTCAGCAGAAAGCGGGAATTAAAAACTGATAAATCTCAATGAAAAACAGATTAAGATACAGACATTTACGTATGTAGATTTTCCAGGAAATGAAATTCAATTTTATTTGTTACTTGCCCATAGGCAAGTTGAAAAGAGCAGTTTAGATGCCCGACAGAAAATTTACCGTATCTGGACGTTGGACAATCATATTTTTGAACCCCCTGCTGATGCAGTCTTCTGACTGCACATCGCACATCATTGTCATCATTTCTTTTGGTCCAAAAATTAGTGAATCCCTTAGTAGGGGGTGTGCATTATACATGGGTGCACACTATACTCCAGAGAATATGGTATATTGTTCAGATCATGGTCACTTATTTGTGTATTTTGTCGAATACGGAAGATATTTCAACACTGCATTATTTTAGTTGCTTAGTTTAATTATTATATCTATAAATAACCTTGTACATGGCACTTTGGTCTTTGGTACATCATATATTTTATAAATGGAACTACTGTAATCGTAGTTATTTTCGCGTGGGATTAATTTTCGAGCTTTTAGTGCAAAACGATTGTTGCGCAGTGGAAAATAAAACGATTGGGCAGAGCTATGCAAATTAACTGAATTCCTAATCAACTAAAATTTCAAACTTACCTTTTGGCCTAAAACAAGGAACTAAACGTGATAACTATTATAAGTGAGAAAACTATGAAATTTACAAAGAACTAAACGTGATTCTCTTAAGTGATTCTAAATGAACTTTGAGATGAAACGAACTGCTAAATATCACTAATTGTCTAACCCTTAAACACACTAATGCAAGTTCAACAACCTAACACCACAATAGCCAATTGAACCTACACATCTAACATCTAACATCTAAGTCATTCCTAGTCTAAATAAATGCCAACACACACGACATGTAACAGAACATCACCCAATGGCAGAAAGGAGCGAATCGCCGTGTATCGCTGATCACCGTCTTATATATACAAAACCTACTCGCGTTTTTCCGTGCATTTCACGGGTGTGTTCGAGTGATACGCCTAGTATGCACTGAGTGCGTTTGAGAGAGCAGTTTCAGTGATAAAACCAAAATGCCTTCAGACCATGCCCCTCCATGATAGATCCCTGTCTATCATTAAAACTGACTAAATGGGAGAACCAAGGAAAACTATCTATGAGTATGTACATCATTTGCTGTTACAAGCATCATTTCACCATTTTACCATTAACTCCATTCAGAGGGCAGACCTTTGTGATAGGCCTTTTCAAGACCGTAAGCGCCAACCTGAACATCTAGAACGGCATGCGTGACCATCCTTTCCAGGATAGGTCTTCAATACTCTGCCTAGAGGCCAAACTCCACGAGGAGTATCCGAAGATACTACAATCACAAGCGTCATCCACCTGTAGGTCTCGGCATGGTGTGAACCATTTCTTCCTGATGTTGAGAGATGGGAGCCACTCTCTCATCCATCGTTTCCACCGTGTCTAATGAGTTCTGAACTCTTCTCCATCAGCTTCTTAGGGCTGAAGGAGGTAGAGTCTAACTCTGCGCAAATTCCCCACCTACCTGACCATGTAGGAAATGATTGGGCGTGAGTGGAACATCATCCTGTGGATGTGCGCTTTGATCGTCAAAGGTCTAGAATTCATAAGAGCTTCCACTCCTATGATGGCTGTCATGAGTTCCTCATCACTAACATCCCCTGAACTCAAAATAGCATACATAGCTCTTTTGGCCGACTTCACCAACGACTCAAAGACTCCTCCAAAGTATGGCGCATTTGGGGGATTGAAAATCCAGTTGACACTTTTGTTTGCCAAAGTTGATTTAACTACGCCTGAATCTAGACCAGCAATGAGCTGTTTCAGCTCTTTGCAGTAGCAAAGTTAGTCCGTTGTCACAGAGATTATTTCCTTTGGCATACCGTCGTCATGCGCCATACAGAAACAAGGCATTCAGAAGCGAATCCGTGTCTAACCCAAAAGCCATTTCTAAATGTACTGCTCGTGTTGACAGACATGTGAAAAAGGCAGAGATAACGTTTTTGTTCGACTCTTACCTCGACCTTGTACCGTGTAAAGCGGACCTGCATAATCCACACCTGTTGTCACAAATGCTTTCATTGAACATCGTACCCTAACCTTAGAGAGATCTGCCATTATCTGATGTGCTGGTTTGGCTTTTTGCCTTTTACACCATGAACACTGTCTTTCCCACTGACGTATTTCCTCTCTAGCTGAAATAATCCAGAATCTAGTGGACAAGGCTGACAACGTACTATTTGTACCCATGTGACTCACCTGCTCATGATAATATTTGACAACCAGTTTGGTGACCCAGGAATGTCTTTGGAGTATAATAGGATGTCTGGCCTCAAAGACAATACATCCATAAACCTCAGTCTGCCTCCTGCTCTCATTAGCCCATTGTCATCAACAAAGGCTGTAGGCCGACCAACTTACTGTTTGCTGACAACTCTGATTTTCTCATCAGTGAAGAGTAATCATCAGGAAATTCTTCCCTTTGATTTCTTACAAGTATTGCTGTTTCTCGTCCTCAATGTCCTCCCATCCAGTTCACCCTTCTTTCTAAGTGAACATGGAGCTCTAGCATTGTTAAGAAACCTATAGACCCAAGCATACACTCTGCAGAGTCTCTTCCAGCTAGAATATCTATTTGGTTCTAACCTATCAGTGTTTGAGTCAGATTTAGTAAACATGACTCACGTTTACTTGAGAACGCCTTTTAGTTCTGGATTCTCACAGTTGTCATAGGCAACTGTCTGTTTTGGCCACTCATCTTCATCCACGAGTCAGAAATGTAGGACCATGCAGCCATTTGTCAGTGGAAAGGGTTTCAACATCTGCACCTCTACTAAGAATGTCTGCAGCATTTTGCTTGGAAGGGACGTATTTCCATTGACTGATGTTTGTATGTTCCTGTATGTATGCAATCCTGTTTGCTACAAATGGTTTAAAACATCTACTCTGTCTTCTAATCCACCAAAGGGCGTTCAGACTGTCAGACCACAATGTTACACATTGTAGAGGCAACTCTAATGCTTTTGCTACTGCAAAATCAGTCTAACCCCAAGAACAGCAGCGAAGCTCCAACCGTGGCATACTAACTGCTTTGAGAGGGGCTACACGACACTTTGAAGCTACCAGATGACTAGTCCTTTGACAATCCCTTGAGTGTAGAAACTGAGAAAACTACAGCTCCAAGCGCTACTTCTGAAGCATCTACAAATGTGTGCAACTTCATTCTCGAAGTATCTAAGTTGATCTTGAGTTCCCTTGGAACTCTAAGCGAAGCACAAACTTTCAACCTCGTGGTACCAAGTCCATGCTTTTTGTTCCAGATCTGGACTAATAGTGTCATCCCAGTTTACACCCGATAGCCACATCTCTTGCAAGATAACTCTAGCTCTTATGGTGAATGGACCTAGGAACCCTAGAGGATCAAACAACCTAGCAGTTTCTTTCAAGAAGTTCCTCTTAGTCATCTTGATATCCTGCTTAGACGACATGAATGAGAACCTAAACTCATCTGAGTCAGCACTCCATAGTAAGCCCAATGCTTTTACAGATGGCAATTCACTCATTTGAATGTTTATCTCCCTTTAGTCTGTCTACTTCTGGTATTTGTTGGAGAACTGGTATGGAATTAGAGACCCACTTACGAGCATGCATTCCTGCACTACTCCACAGCTGTTGCAGCTGTTTGTAGAGCTCTATAGCTTTACTGTCTGTCTCTACAGAATCAATGTTGTCATCCATGTAGGTTGACTTTTCTATTGTAGCTGCAGCTAATGGAAGTTCTTTCTCAAGTGATTTCGCATGTTCCTGAGTGATATACTGAGCTAGAAATGGAGAACAATTTAGTCCAAATACAACCTTTGAGAACTCAAACACATCTGGCTTTTTGTTTTGATCCATCGATCTCCAAAGAAACCTTAGATATGTACGGTCCTCCTGAGCAAGTTCAATTTGGAGGTACATTTCAGCAACATCACAAATGATTGCAACAGGGTGTTTCCGAAACCGCAGCAAGATCTCAAACAGATCATTCTGTAGTTTAGGGCCTTGATGAATAACATCATTCAAGGATATGCCTTTATTCCTTGCGAAGCATCAAATACTATTCTTACCTTTGTTGTAGTTCTGTCAGGTTTAATTACGGAAAATGAGGCAAGAACCATTTACTTTGACCTATTTCAGTTTCAGGTACTTTTCTGATGTAACCCTTTTGTATGTACTGTTCTATGGCGTCATTGTAGGCTTCTGATATGGTTTGATCTTTTGACAACTTCTTTTCTATATTGACAAGGCGACTGTATGCCATGTCATAATTGTTTTGCAGACTATCACGACCCTCCTTCCATGGAATGCCAACCTGATATCTGTCTTCTTTGTACACAAGAGATTGTTTTACAGCCTTAACTGCAACATCCTCATCAAGACTTCTAACTGTTGTTGAACCGAAATGCTTTCAGATTCCCAAAGCGAATGAATCAAAGAGTCAAGATTTGTATCTGCATCTACCTCCATTATTCTGGATGAAGAATGAACCTGCAACATGTGTTGCGTGCCTGTCTAAACCTGGTATCTGACCCACACAAGTCCAGCCTAAAGGTGTCAACCTAGCTACTGGCTCTCTTGGAAGCCCACAGATTTCTTTGAAAGAAGAATGCAGCTCTAAATAATCCATACCTATTAGGATGTCAACTATGGGCGAGAACTTACCTGTGGGAATTGAATATTCCTCAAATGTGGCCATTGCTTTGCATGTTTCGCCAATCAATAACTTTCATTCTACCTGTTACTTTGGTAGTTGTCAAAGCTGTAATGGTCATGTCTACTGAACCATCCATACTCTCTAGGCCAACATCAATTAGCATACTGTCAAAGCGTCTCCTGTTTACTATTCAGGACATTGACCGACACTTGTTGTGTATTACCTTGCACACCAAGTTCATATGCTACATCCTCGTTGATGTAATAAGTATGCGTTACTAGCATCATCGAGCAATCGTTGACGGTCATTCTGTGACTACCATTCTTAAGAATCGACAGGAATTGTCCTAAGAGCAAGATAATGTGCTTCCTGTTTAGAAGTTGACAAGGTGGTTGTTTCTGATCTACTTTCATGAGACTTTGTGGTTGTATCATTAACCTCCCGCAACACCACTGCCAGCCCTATCGTTCCTGGCCACTTTGCTGTTGTCATGAAGTAACCTGTTATGATTAGCCTTACAGCCATCAAGCCCACATTTCACAATTCTACTGCATGATTTACCCAGATGACCCGATGTCAAGGCAGCGAAAGCATAAACCTAACTGTTTTGCCTTATCCCACCTTTCTGGTAGACCAAGAGATTTGAACTGTGCACAACCCCCGTGTCATGATCTGTTCCATGACAAACATGACATTGCCTTGCCTTAGCTCGGTTATGTGTGTGCTTTGCGAATGTTCCTTTCTTGTTGCTATCTCTCCTATCTGTTGTCTTTGATTTGTTAACTATTCCATGTTTTACCTCTGAAGCTATTGTCTGGAACTCTGACTCTTGTAGTATCCATTCCTAAGTGTCTCAACTGACTCTTGTCTTTGGTGCTCAAACATCCATCTGTGAAACTGCGTTATCATATTCTCATTCATTTTCTTAACCAGTAGTGAATACAAACACCCACTCCCAATTCCTCTATCGTGTCAGATTCCCTCAAACTGACAACAGCTACATCAAGCATATCAGCAAATTGTCCAAATCTTTAGCACTCCTGGTCAGTATTGGCCTGAAATTATATATTTCTTCCAGTTTCAGTGCTATCTGGGCGCCGCTTGCCGCCATACTTTCTATCCAACCTTTCTAAGGCCACATCATAGACTGAGGCACTGTGACCTAACTTAGCTACAAGTTGTGCTGCTTCACCAGAAAGATATTGTTTAAGCTGCAGAAGCTTATACTCATTAGTGGCTGGAGCTTTATCAACACATGCCATGAAAGCAGCTTTCCAGCCTTCATTATTCTCTAGTGTCACCATGAAATACTGGGATGGATACTGCTTCAATTGTTTCCACATGTCTTCACCTAAATTGTGCTGCCTAGATGACTTACCTGAAGAGGAATAATACCCTTCGGGTGTTAAGTGGAAGCTTTCTAACCACATTTGACTTTTGTGAAACACAGCCTATGTTGGGTGAATTAGGTGTGTCACCTTGACTAACGCCTGAACCATGTTGTGAACCTTTACAGTTCTCATGCGAATGACTTGCGTCAGAATGAAATAACCTTGATATTCCAGACTTAATGCTCGATGCCTTTGAACTAGCAGGTGCATTGGTTCTAAGAAACCCTTCAGCATTATCAAGGGCCAGTTGAATCTCATCTTCAACAATTTCAATTTCCTTACTGGTTTTCTGAACTTTGTCAGAGTCACCAATCAAGCTGTAAGCCTCTAATAACTCAACTATGATACCTATAGCCTTGCTCTGCAAGGAACTAACCTGGTCTATGGCATTCCTGATTGTTTTACGATCTGGAGTCTCAATTTCAACTAAATTCAACAATTTGTTCTTTGCTTTAGTTAAAGCCGACTTTGATACAGTCTTCTGATGTTTAAGTTTAGCTATTCTCAGTTCTATCTCGCCAGGGCGACCTCTAACATAGCCCCAGCAGTTGGCTTGGACTCTGACATAGTGAATAGTTATTTCACAGTAACTATTCTATGTCTTAAACTATCTAACTGAACTAAATGCTAATGCAAGTATAACTGAATATTCTAACCAGAGAAACCACGCTCTTCTACCAAATGTTGCGCAGTGGAAAATAAAACGATTGGGCAGAGCTATGCAAATTAACTGAATTCCTAATCAACTAAAAATTTGAACTTACCTTTTGGCCTAAAACAAGGAACTAAGCGTGATAACTATTATAAGTGAGAAAACTATGAAATTTACAAAGAACTAAACGTGATTCTCTTAAGTGATTCTAAATGAACTTTGAGATGAAACGAACTGCTAAATATCACTAATTGTCTAACCCTTAAACACACTAATGCAAGTTCAACAACCTAACACCACAATAGCCAATTGAACCTACACATCTAACATCTAACATCTAAGTCATTCCTAGTCTAAATAAATGCCAACACACGACATGTAACGAACATCACCCAATGGCAGAAAGGAGCGAATCGCCGTGTATCGCTGATCACCGTCTTATATATACAAAACCTACTCGTTTTTCCCGTGCATTTCACCGGGTGTGTTCGGGTGATACGCCTAGTATGCACTGAGTGCGTTTGAGAGAGCAGTTTCAGTGATAAAACCAAAATGCCTTCAGACCATGCCCCCCTCCATGATAGATCCCTGTCTATCATTAAAACTGACTAAATGGGAGAACCAAGGAAAACTATCTATGAGTATGTACATCATTTGCTGTTACAAGCATCATTTCACCATTTTACCATTAACTCCATTCAAGAGGGCAGACCTTTGTGATAGGCCTTTTCAAGACCGTAAGCCAACCTGAACATCTAGAGCAGC